GATAATGGTTTTAGTCGCACTCAAGCAACTGGTATTTTAGCATATTTGAAGACATTTGATTTTGTGATTTATTTGCATTTGATGTTTCATATTTTAGAGATCACAGACTTGTTGTCACGGGCTCTTCAAAAAAAGGATCAAGATATTTTGGAAGCGGTTTCATTGATAAGAGGAACCAAACAACTATTGCAACAATTTAGAGAAACTGGTTTTGATCCACTTTTGAAGAAAATGTATTCTTTTTGTGAAGCAAATGGTATTAAGGCTTTGGATATGGAAGACTGTTATTCAAAAAAAGGAAGACAAAGGAGCAACATCACCAATTGTCATTATTACAAGTTTGATATTTTCAACACTGTTGTGGACATGCAAATTCAAGAGTTTGGGGATCGATTTAGTGAGGTAAGTACTGAATTGCTTAAAAATATAGCAGTTTTGAGCCTATGCGATTCGTTTTCGCAATTCAATGTATCAGATTTATTGAAGTTGAGTGAGTTGTATCCTCAAGATTTTAGTCATATGGAAAGGATCGCTCTTGAGAAACAACTTAACATGTGCTATTTGATTGTGCGTCAAGATGAAAGATTTGCCAATTTGAGTGGTATTGCCGAGCTCGCTAGACTGCTAGTGGAAACAAAAAAGCATCAAACTTATCCTCTAGTCTATCGGTTATTGAAGTTGGCCTTGGTTTTGCCAGTTGCTACTGCAACAGTCGAAAGATGTTTTTCTGCTATGAAGATTGTGAAGTCAGATTTACACAACAAAATCGGTGATGAATTTTTGAATGCTGCAATGATATGTACTATAGAAAAAGCACTTCTCGCAGTTTCAAATGATGATGTAATTACGCAATTTCAAAAGATGAAAAGTCGTAGGGCACAGTTGTAAGAGGTAACTTTTTATCATTTTTGTATAAATTTGAAGTTAATTATTATTTTATTTTATAACATGCCCCCTACAATATATTTTTCTGCGTCCGCCACTGAGTTTTAGTCCAAAGATTCGTCATTCAAGCTTTTTCATTGACCCGGTTTTGACCGGGGATGGGTGTTAACTGCCGGGCCGGGGCCGCCCCACCCCGACATGCCTAGCTCTTACTACCCAACCTTTATCTTCCCCACGCTTATCTGCCACTAAAACCCCAAATAGCCTAGCGAGGGGTTTTGCTTCTTGTCACCCTTCAATGGCGTTCTCCAATGCCTCCCTCTTATCTTCTTGCTCTTTATACAGACTCAATCCTGTTCTCTTCTCTCATCGGCGTTGTAGTGTCACTTTGTATCGATTACATCTTCGTATCCTCAAATCAAGGTTTTTAGCAGGTAATCATGGTTTCGTCCATCAATTTCGGAAAGTGTTTGATTTCGTAGCAATTTCATTAATTTTAACTCTTAAAAAAGGTATAATTTTTCATTGGAATGTGCTAATCTTTATGCAATGGTTTTTGTTTAACTGAAATTTCAGTTGCTGCATCTGACAATGGAGTATTTACTTCTCCCGAGATAGCAAAATCTTTTGACTTTACTTCCGAGGAACGGATATACAACTGGTATTTGTTTTGATCGAATGTGCCATGTTTGTTTTGTGCATGTAATTCACATTGCTCTATTTGAACTGAAAAATGACTCACTTATCATCATCTTAATGCTGGAATGGGATGAAAGTATGCTTGTGGACTGGGTTAGCCATGTTGAAACATACAAGTATGTTATGTCCGAATAGACAACAATGTCAAACGGCCTATTTTGACACCGAAATGGCATGGAGACTGGAAACATTTCTTCCTAGATTATCTCTCTCCTTGGTTCTGCAGTCAAAATTTACATTTTAACTTATCATCTCATAGAGGTGAAGTTTCCTACAAATATACGTTCAACCCTCAGTCTACTATTTAAGGATGCCAGTTTTCTTTCTCTCTTGAATACCTTGTGTTCTTACCACAATATTGCTTGCATTGGCTTTTATGTAGATGTGCTTTCCATAATTGTCTTTTGAGACATCATTTGTTGGGAAAGGCTGTCCTAAGAGATTTGTTACTAGAATGTTGCTTTTGAAATTATTCATTCCGTAATTTATCATGTTATTGCTTCTAGGTGGGATTCTCAAGGGTATTTCAAGCCGAACTTCGATAAGGGAAGTGAAGCTTTTGTTGTTACTATGCCGCCTCCAAATGTGACTGGTTCGTTGCACATGGGGCATGCTATGTTTGTGACTCTTGAGGTTAAGTAAATGGTTAACATAGATGCATCTTTCTTTTATGTGAAAACTTTGTTCTACTTCTTAGTCTTATTGCTAAACCCTTCATTCAATGTGAATAAGAGTATGCTATCTGTGAGAATATTTGGAATCCCATTAAATTACTCTTCAAAACAGCTCTCGAGGAGAGAAGGGAGGTTCCAACATATATAGAAGAGAAATGGTCCAAGTCTAGCCCATGTGGGACTCTCACACTATCCCTACGTGGATCAAATGGCTATTTGTCTATTCAATCATCTGGAATCAGCATAACAGGACAACTACAAATAGTTATCATCAACCTGCATTTGGAAACCAAATATGAATGTAAACTTCTTCTAGGCCCGCCACATATGCAGTGATGATATTGGTGTCAAGCTTGTTACAGAACCTGAAACAGGAAAATGATATTGAAGAGTGTGTTGTTCTATGCTAAAAAAAACTATAATCCAATTGCTTTCTAGGAGCAAGCATTTATATTGCATTAGCAGTTTAGCACTACATATTTTAACCATGTTGCCATTCTTTTCTGTGTCATCACAGTAACTTTATGGTGTTTTAGCAACTCATGTGCAATCGTCTCCAGGATATTATGATCAGATACCACCGGATGAGGGGCAGGCCTACTCTCTGGCTTCCTGGGACAGATCATGCTGGCATTGCAACCCAGGTTTGGGTTTTAATACTATTATACCGGATCTGTAAGACTGTAACCCTTTCCCTATTACAACCTCACTTTTTTGATTCAAAATATTTCGAACTTCAAATTTCAAATTAAATTACTGTTGCTAGTGTGCAAAGTTTGAAACAGAGTCTCTAAACCACTTTGAAGTGGTTCATGATCTAAAAGTGATGATTTAAATTGTTATAAACATATATGGTCTAGCTTAACCGCATACAAGCAATTGACAATTTTTTGAGTGCTGTTGAGCTAACAAATCCATCTTGAATGATTCATGTTATGATAATTCATTTTGTTCAGGCACATTTCCTGTGTTGTCTTTACAAACCATCCATCCAGCCATCTCACATGTTATGTTATATAACTCCCTAATATCTTTAAATTGTAATTCTTAATTATATCTTCCAGTATAGGAGTAGAAGAATGTTGGAAGTGCGAGTTTATCTAGAAATGGACGTTACTTAATTAAGTATATATGTGTGTATATATATATATATATTCTTTTTGTTTCTATGTTTCTGTTATGCATGGTTATAGTTTCCAAATTTAAGTTTGATATTTAAGATGGATCACCAATAAGAATCATCAATATGTGATATACTGGCATCGGATTCTATTATGCTATACTTTGACGCAAGTGAGATCTTGTCATGCAGATATTTTGTTGTTCGTATAAAATTGCATGTTGAAGTATAAGCTTTCATATAGATTTACTGCACCTTCAATGGCAACTGTTCCATTCCTGCTTGTTGTATTCTTAGTTTACTTATTTGTTTTTATCTTAATATACATTACTTTTTCAGTTGGTCGTGGAAAGAATGTTGGCTTCTGAAGGAATAAAGAGGGTTGAATTGGGTAGAGAGGAGTTCACCAAGCGAGTTTGGGAGTGGAAGGAGAAGTATGTCTATTTGTTTCAGTTATCGTGTTATTAGCATTCAAAGTAGGCACATTTGCCCACTATGGATTTCTGGGTCCTCTAAATGTGCCTATTGTGGTTTCAGTTTGGACTATTTGCCCATAAGGCTCTCAATATTTATTTTTATGTGACCATTAAAATTGCATGTGGCAGGTGGTATAAAAACTTAACTAGAAGTTTTAATGTGGTTCTCATTTTTTCCCGTTATAATGCTCATGTGATAGGCAATTGTGCAATCTCACCAATTCAATCGATATCTCTCTCTCAGAACATATAGCGCATATGGTTCACAAAATAAATAATGTATCCCTTTAACATTACAAAATATTTATGCTCCATTTTCATTTGCTTTTCTTTTGAACAAAACAAATGACTCTGCTTTTTACACTTGCTCAATCTCTAAAGCTATTTCATAAACTTCAGAATTCTTTTTTTGATGGGTTTGTATGTATGCACCATTTTTCTTGACTTTCACAATCTTAATCGGTCAATAAGTTATTTGTTGAAGTTGTATGAGTTATGTGACTTCTACATAGATCTTTTTGTTTGACCAAACTAATCCAAGTTCTCTTTTGATATTTCATTTCCTTTTCAGTTTGAATGATTGCAAGCAAGTTCAATAAAAAAGTTTTCAAGTAGATTAAAAAATAAGCTAAATAGAAACAAATTAGGAACCCCAATAGGTAAATCATCCTAGTTGAAATCATAATGGGACCGTTGGGGAAGCTGAAAAGTTACAGTGTCTGTAAATGCTATTTACCTTGAAATATATATTCCAAACTATATTCTCTTCCCCTTCCCCTTCCCTCTCCCCCTCCCCCTCCCCCTCCCTCACTCCTTTCCCTTTTCTCTTTCTCACACACTTACCCATAAAACATATTATGCTTCCTTATCTTTCTGGTCTTTAATTTGGTATACTTTTTGGACGACATTTATGTAATTTGGGGTTTTCAAGATATTGCCAAATATTAAGTTGAGCCAATATTTTTTTTGGTCAAGTTATAGTCTTTTCATGTGAATCTTTTTGATAGTTTCTTTCTAATACATCTTGTTAAATTTGAATATTCTAATCAAATGATTGCAAACTTCACATCTGAAGCATGGAGGAAACAACTCATCCTTATAGTTGACCTTTATGTAGGAACATGTTGGATGGCCCATGGAGTAACATGTAACTGATAATACAAAAGGGGAAAAAGTAAAAATAAAGGTGGCAAAATTTATAACCCACACATAATCATGATCATATTGCCAACATAAATTTTCCTTGGTTTAAAATTAATTGCCTGGGTTAGGACCATGTCAATGGTACACTTGTTACGTCATTACCATCTCTGATGATCTACTTTGGATTTATCTTTGAAGGTATGGGGGAACCATTACAAATCAAATACGCCGACTGGGTGCTTCTTGTGATTGGACTAGAGAACATTTCACACTTGATGACCAGCTAAGTCGTAAGACAAATTTCTATCAAATTGTAACCCCCCAATAATTTGAGAACCATGTTTGTTAATGGCAATAAGCATTTGAATGTTATCCTGTTTCTTATGTCTTGCAATAATGATGAACATGTTTGTTGTTCAACGACAAAAGTTTTATCATCTAACATTTCATGAGTTCATTTTCTTCTTAATTGTTGCAGGTGCTGTTATTGATGCCTTTATTAAGCTTCACGAGAAAGGGCTTATCTATCAAGGTATGGATCAATTTCATGTTCTCACTTCTCATGGTTGATTGTTTCATTTCCGTTCTCTATTGTGGTATTTTACACATAACCTTCGATAGGAGCTCTTGAGACGCATGGTTTAGGTAGTAGACTATGGGTATGGATTTGTAGAATGGATGGAAGGAGGGTAATTAAGAGTAGATAGAGGATGAGGTAGGGGGAGGGGTAGCGTCGTGGCAATTAGGCTACCGGGGCCTTATGCCCAGTAGAGGGTTGTCTTAAAAGGGGGGAATTTCCTACCTTTCAAGTCTAATATTGTTTTTGCTTGTGTGACTTGTTCGAGGTATAGTTGCCCTTAGTTGTTAAGAGCGCACTTGAGGCGTGCCTAGGCTCTAAGGCTCAAGGTCTTGGGCTTTTTTAGAGTCGAGGCTAGGCTTATTCATGAGGCTCACTAAGGCGTTGCGTCTTGGCTGAGGCACCTTGTGGGCCTAGGCATGCCGCATAAAGAGTTATTGAATACCTAGTCAACCCCTAATATGAAATAAAATTTCTGATCTTCTCATCTCCTAGACTTCTTAAAAAAGAGTTATTAAATAGATGACATAATAAGTTATACCCTAATATTAATACCCAGTCCTTAGAACTTCAAGCCTCGTTCTCTATAAATACCCGAACCTTAAAACTTCTCCTTCACGGCTCACGCCTTAAACCCTTCTCCCTTTTGCCTCTATCAAAGTACTACCGGTTGCTGTGTTGGAGGCTTGTATTTGGTGCATATTTGAGTTGTGTAATTGTGTGTGTATATATTCTGATAAGATGTGCCTTGCATTCCTGAGGTTTGCGCCTCATGCTAGGCCCCCAGACCCCTTTGTGCCAAGTGCGCCTTGAGCCTTTAACAACTTTACACTAGCCTTATCTTTTCTGTGTACTAGTAGTTGTTAGTATTATGCCTTATATTTTTGTATTGCCTTGTTTATTTAACGTATTCCCCTCAGATTTGTCCTTGATTGTGTTTTTTGTTTGCTATACATGTTGCTTGTTTACACACACTCTCACATATAGCTTGCCCGTTTATTTCTCTTAGTTGTTGTTTTGCCAGCGACAGGTTCTTAAGGAAACAACCTCTCTACCCTTTGGGATAGAGACAAGGTTTGCATCCTACCCCCAAACCCTATCTTTGCATGGGATTTATTGGGCCCATTTAGTTTGGTTCTCATTTGTAGAATCCAAACACAAACTGAACTTGACCTTTTTAGTATCTTAGTTGGCTACATGAATCCTTTATCTTCCATTTGGTTTCTATGAAACATCAAATATAAAGCCCTTGTGCTTGTCTAACCCCTATTGGGGCTTCTTACTTATGGTGATGAACTTATTGGTTTTTGTTGTATTTATTTAGAACCTGGAAAATTCATTTACCTATCCATTGTTCCTAACACTACCATATCCTTAAAATTTCTTCTCAGCCAACTTCGTTGCTTTAACATGTTTGCTATTGGTGAGTTGGCTCTTTCATAAGTAAAAAAGCTGATCTAGTATTTTTTCTATTAACTTTTGAATCCAATTTCAGTGCCAATCTATATGAGAATACTTGTGGCTAGTATATTATATTCTCATTGTCTTGCTCTTATAGAAATAAAAATAAAAGAAATAGCAAGAAAAAGAGAAGCTGAGGGTGTGTTAATCTTTTAAGCATATTATTTTCAGTCATTTTCACTTGGATTTCGTTATTTACAATGGAACAATGATGTGGCAGACAATTGCAAAATTACATGTGAATACACATACATAAAATAGAGAGACAGAGAAATTAGAAGCTTGCACATATAGAATTAAAAAGCTGATCGAGACTCTTGTGAAAGGTAAAATGTTAATCATCAAATTTTATCTATTTGGTTACCGAAGAAATACACACTTTTAGCGCGCTGCGAATGGTGACTTCTTGAAGATGGGATATGTTGGTGGAGTGCTTAAGTAACTGTGCTATTATTTTAGTCGTAGGCAAGACACCTAGAGAGACTTGTGATAGTTTCTATTATAAAGAATGTGTAGGTTAACCCTTGAGGGTAGCTCAATCGGTCAGACATTGGTTTGCTTCCCACTAATCGCTGGTTTGAGTCTCCTTAGGGGCCGTCAGAGGTTTGCCCGACTGTTTAGCTTTAGGGCCCCATGGGATTAGTCAAGGTGCATGCAAGCTGGCCCGAACACCCACGGTTATAAAACGCCTAGAGAAGAGGAGGGTACCATGGAGGTATATCAGGGTGATAAAGGGGTTGTATGGCTGAGCAAAGACTTGTGTGTGGACAGCGGTGGGTGAGACTAAGTATTTTCTAGTGGGTATAGGGTTATACCAAGGATCAGTGTATGCCCATTCCTCTATGTTGTGTTTTTGGATGCGATCTCGTGGGGGTTCTAGGAAGTGTTCCATGGTGTATGTTATCGGATGATATTATATCGTTTATGGTGTTGAAGGAAAAGGTCAATGTGAAGTTGGAGTAGTGGATGATGGCTTTGGAAAAATAACCTTGCGTATTAGTCGCTCAAAGATAGAATATATGTGGTGCAATTTTAGTGAGGACCACATTGATGATAGGGGAGATGTCAACATTGATTGGAGGGCAAGGGGTACCCCAAAAGGACAATTTCAAGTATTTAAGCTCTATGATTCAAGCTCATGGAGAGGTTGATGAGGATGTAATGCACCACATAAAGGTAGGGTGGCTAAAATGGAGAGCTGTGAGGGGGATGCTGTGCGACAAGAAGGTTCCACAAAAATTGAAGGGCCAATTCTACAGGGTAGCCACTACACCAGCCATGTTATATGGGTCAAGAGTGGTGGGTGACCAACTATGTGATATTAGGTCAACAGTGTTGGGTGTTAAGGAAGGCCCATGAGGATGCTTAGATGGACTTGTGGTCGAACCTTGTTAGGCTGGATGCCGAATGAGCCAATACAGGTGGAGTTGGGAGTTGCATGTATCACGGATAAATTTAGAGAGGGAGGACTGCCGTGGTTTGAACACGTACGCAGGAGACCAAGGTCGGCGCTAGTGAGGAGAGTAGAGAATGTGTTGCTCGAGGGGCAATCCAAGGAGGACCTGAGATGCGCAATTGAAGATGGACATGACAATCTTAGGCATTTATGAGGACATGACCTCTGATAGGAGTTATCGGGGATGTCGGATCAGGGTAGTTGATTAAAAGTAGGGACCTAGTCGCTAGTGTGGATAGAAAGAAGGGAGTTATCGAGGGTGAGGGTAGGATAGGAGGTTTAGGGAGCTGACAAATTGGATACAAAGCCTACTTTCGATGAAGGAGCGTTTGTGTGTTTTTTTGTACTTGGTTTATGTCTCTTTGTGCCTTTTTCCCTTTTCCTTCTTTTTATGCTAATCTTAAGTATTCTACTTGCCGGTGTCTATTCCTTCCCTCTCACACTTTTGCACAAGCCGGTTTTTATAGAGTGGATTCTACCCATTCTAGACCCTGCTTTCAAGCGTGATATAGTGGGTTTGTTTGGTTTTGCTTTAACAAATATTGTTGTGAGACCACAACAATGATAGGAATAGTGAGAGAGAGAGGTAGCAACAATGTGAGAGGATGGAGACGGGACGAAGATGCAGAAAGAACAAGGACAGATGTATGAATTACCCACTTATGTGATCATCAAGTCTTTTGGTTATGGAATGCTTTTATCTTCTGGGTAGAAAAGGAAAGAAAAGGTTCCTCTCTCCTCTCCTAAAGAATGCAACGTTTGACTTCGCATGTAGCTTAATGAGTAACTTTGACTAATGGTCAAATGTCTAAGATGCCCTTCAATAAGACAACAGTGGTAGAATTTTGCACTAAAACCAATGTCACTGATATCTTGTAATGATTGCTAGTAGGCATACGAGCAATTTTGGATTTGAAACTTACTAAAAAAGGATATTTTTGCATTTTATTTGGGACAACCCAAGATGGAAAGTCCTGCAATATTTTGTGATGGAGGAAGTAAATTTGAGTGGTCTGGTCATCTCCATTGCAGATCTCTAAATGAATTGAGGAGACTTGTACCAGGGAGAGGGCACAGAGAGAGGCATAGATGGTCCAAAGTTATCATAGCAGAAGTTTAGTAGTCAGGAAAGTTTAAATGATTGAAAAACAGAAAACGTTTTGACCTTAAATAGGAGTATAGGGCTGCTTGGAGGTATCTAATTATGTGCCATAGTCCTAGTTTTGTTTCAGTTACCTTGTAATTTGTAGTGAGGTTCCTTTACGACCTTCCGCTCCTGGTTTCTGATATAAACTTCTTTGTTTTTGCTCTCATAATAAATTTTTGGCATCGTGCTTTGATACATCGGACTGTGTGCAAAGAGAGATGAACTGAGGTCTGCCTTGGTCTTAATCTCTATGTGGCTTTCTTTTTTAATTTTGGTACATGTATAAAACTTCATAATAGCATTTGGATTGTAGTTTCATTTGATTGATGTTATAGATTGACCTTGGTTACAAGGCATGGGTTTACAGTTATTTGTAGACTTGTAATATTTGTTAGTTCTATTTGATGGCAAAGGAGGCATTAATCTCTGCCCGCATGCACTTGATTAATGTTTCCATGGGTGGTACCTTGGTTTATATATATTCTTTACCATGGCTCCGTTTTTTTTTTTGAAGATACCATCTTAGAAAACCCAAATTGTGTCCAAATTTAATGTCCAGGTTGCCCTCTATATGATTTAGAAATAACTTGAGAAACAAAGATTTTTACTACTCATTGACCCAGATTCTTTTTCTGAACTTATTGAATTTGATCTGCCGATTCTAATCTAGTCATATGCAAGTATATGACAAGTAAAAGTGTAGGGGATTGCTTGGTTTTGAGACAGTTTCTAATGGAAGTGATTAAGAATCATCAATGGGAGAAGAGTAATTGGGAAAAAGTTAATAAAGAGTAGTCAAAATGTAAGTACTGTCCTCAAATTGCTCTTGTGCTCTTCTCTCATTACTAAAATTGCTTGAATACTACTTAAAGATGAGCTAATTTCATCCTAATTCTCTCCCTTACAGCTATTTAGCTTGTTAATCAATCACTATATAGTTGCAATCTATATGTGCTGCTGTTAATGCTTGCCTAGCTTATAGCAAACAACACAATTGACAACAACTGTTGGATAAATTCCAGTTGATTCTTTTCTTTGGCCAATTGTTAATTATTCTATAAAAATTCTTACCAATGCCATTTGGCTCTTCACAATAAAATTTCTTGCTCAGTCCCTCCATATATGTTTTCTTGCAGGCTCTTACATGGTCAACTGGTCTCCAAATTTACAGACTGCAGTTTCTGATTTGGTATATTGGATCACTTATGATCAGCTCTCAATGGGTTTTATCTATTTGCAAGCTCCCAAATTAACATGATTATCCATGATTTCATAGGAAGTTGAATATTCTGAAGAACCTGGTACTCTATATCATATCAAGTATCGTGTCGCTGGAGGTTCTAGGTAATTGGTCCGTATTTCTTATTTCATACTCCATATTCATTTGCTTGTCCGAAAAGGCATGAAATTTCGTGCTATGAATTATAATGTTCATTAAAAGGTGATCTGGTTTTGCAAGGGGTGAGGAGAGACATCCTTGTATGCTACCTTCTGCTTGGAGTTTGCAAAGAGGTTGTTTCCCTGACTCGACCTTGCAACCTGGTTACAAAGGAAAGCTTACCAGTTGCCCAAGATCGTCCTTAATTATATGCTCATTTATCAATTTACATCTCACACATCTATTTATGTGCACATGTGTTTCTTCTGCTTTTAGATGTACTAGGCAATATATTCCCTTAACTGTGCTTGTGATTGAGTCCATAACCCCTACCTAAATATGGCTTCCAGATTTTAAGTCATGGATATTAATTTAGCTTGGTATTTAAGTGTCTTTGGCATAAAGCTTTAATTCTATATACATTGTAATACTATCAAAAGTCTGTTTGAGAATTTAAAACCGCTGCCAATTTACAGAAGAACAGAAAAAGAACTATTACCCTCTTCACAAATCACTAGGCTTGATTACACTCGCCATTATGCTATAAACTTCTCAGCATAAAAATCTACACTTCCCAAGAAGTTCCTCTCCTCTCAATATCCTTTCTGCAACGACCTGGAGACCCCAAAACAGGACAAATTGTGCTAATTTCATTCTATCTATCATTTGTTCAGGTTTATGAGAAAAGGGGAACCATCATGTTGTTTTACTATTAGAAGACAAAACCTTGTACTAGAACTTTAAATTGTGTTTTGAAGGAGAGAATGATAGATTCATAAGATAGGATGGGTGTGACTATTTCTTGTTGTAGATTTTGGTCTTCTTTGTGAAGCTGCTCTATATCTGCATATACAAGAAGATTGCTATGAACTTTCAAAGTTATGTGCTTATGGAACTAATCAAGCAAAGAATAAAGATTTGGTAGGTCATTAAATGCAGCAAACCTTGCCTCTACTTGCTTGATGGTTTGTTCACTTTGAATTCTTTTCTTCAATGGTTCATTTAGAGATTGCATGTCCCTTAATTTTCTAGCCATGCATGTTTACTAACCATATTCGTGTTTGTATCCTTTTCATGTTGTAGGAGTGACTATCTAACAATAGCAACCACACGACCAGAAACTTTATTTGGTGATACAGCTGTTGCGGTGAATCCTGAGGTAAAAGTGCTCACTTCAACCAAGTTAGATCAAGCTAAAATATAATTATGATTACTTGATTAGCTAGCTCGGTTACTGCATCACATTACACATAGTAGATATGGGAGTAACCTTGGTCTTCTTGACATGATGAAGAGTAATGGGATGAGTAGTAAGTTACTTAGTGGTATTTCAACAGGATTACCTTTTCTGCCAATGTTTAGCCCATTACATACAGAGAGGAATGCCATGGACAACTTGTATATGTTATCCTTTTGTTATGTAATAAAAACCAGTAGTATGAATGGTCAGTAGCTTGCCTAAACATGTGTGCCAAAGGCGATCGTAACTTCTATTCTGAAATAAACGAGAATGCATTTCCCCCTTGCTTTCAGTAAAAGTTGGCTACTTCGTTTTTTACTGAATATCTGTTCAAAGCAGAACAGTGTTTGCTTTTGTCGCCATTGTTGGTTTCAGTATGGCATGAATGTTTATGTATTCAATCGGTTAATGATGGATTTACTACTACCTTTACAGGATGGAAGATACACAAAATATATTGGAAAGTCAGCCATAGTTCCAATGACATTCGGTCGTCATGTCCCAATTATTGCTGACAAGGTACTATCAATGCTTTATATAATATAGAAAGAGAAGAGAAAACAGTATATTTATATGCTGTCCTGCCATTACTTTTTTTGAAAGCATAAAGTTACTGATTCTATGGTTCAGAAGGATGCTATGATTTTTTTTATATTACATCATTAATGTTCACAATTAGAAGTTGGTTAATGCACTATTTTGTGATGAAAAACCTCAGGAAAAAAGATGAGCGAACTTATTTTAGAAGGAACAAGGTCCATATCAGTAGGACTCTTCTCTTTTGAAAACCTTAGTTGCTTGGTTTAAAAATGCGCGCATAATTCCGATGCGTGATGCGCTCCGATGCGCTCGAGGTAACGCATCAGAGGGGCTGATGCGAACCGATTCCATGATGCTCTCTGATGCGGTCGCATCACCTATGCATCACATGATGCATGCATTAGCGCATCCTATATGTTTCATGTTTAGGCTCCTTTTTCATTATTTAGAGGTTTTTAGTTGGGCATTTTGTAGATTAAAATAGAACGTAATAATGACCTAATAAAATAGAACCCCTCTCAAGTGAAATTTAATCGTGCCTTACAACGTCGATATAAAAAAGAGGGAAGTAGTGATGAGTGGTTGATGGGGAGGATGGACTGATGATGAAGATGATGATTTGGTGTTTATTGATGATGATCTTACGTGGGATGACGTAGGTAGAGCTTCCGGGGCGTATGAGACTCCTCATTTCACTAGAGCATCAAGAGGGAGAGTAAATGATGATGGGTCGGGTGTATCAAGAACTATAAGTGCTAGAGGAAAAGGACATGCTCTTCAGGATGAAGATGATGAAGTTGAGGTGGAAGCAGATATTGGAGGGTTTGATAATGATGAGGGAGATGAACCCGTGTTGGGGTTTGATGATGCTGATCTTGGGGAGTATTAATTGGTCACTTGGTGATGAAGAACAGAAAACAGAGTAATAATAACAGTAGATGAAATGGAGAAGGAATAGGGAATTTGTATTAATGGAGAAATAAGAACCAACGATTCCAGGGAAAACTCCCCTCTCGAAGCAAAATGCTGAGATTCAAAATCAAAGAAAAATCTCATAACATGCCTGACAACGTCATTCCCTATTCTATTTATTCTTCTCTCTCTCCTCTAACAGACTTGTTAGCCACTTTCCTGATTTACCCCTCTTGTCCTTCTAGAATAGACATGTACAATTCTGGGCCTTTTGTTATTAGATACCAATAAGTCAGCATTTGTATCACTTGGTCATTTAGTTTGGGATTGGGGACTATTAGACATTTACTTCTGTTCTTCATGGTAGTAGTTTGTGTGTTTAATTATTCCGATTCACAAACTTTTTAAGATTCTAATGCCACTTTTTGAACTACTTTATGTTATAAATGAAGTATTTTGATAGGTAAGTATTTTTAAGGTAGAAATTGATATGTAGAATTAATTTATAAGTATTTTTTGAATACCGGGCGCATCACGCATCACGCATCGGCTTCCGGGATCCTTACCACCTCGGACCGCATCACGCTTTTTAAAACCAAGCTTAGTTGTTTATTGGCATAAATTTATGTTGTATAGAAATTGAAGTCACCTCTATTTCAAAAACTAGTTAAATAAAAGAATTTGAAGTGGAATCTTGATGTATCTCCTCCCTCAACCATTCTAACTTCTTGTTACTTGTTAGTGTCTGAGGTTAAGTGGTTAGATGAAGACAGCAAGGTCTAACTGTTCTAGGCTTGTTCTGATAACAATTAGTTGCTCTGTTATTCACTATTTTACCTAATAAAATAAAATTAAAAGAAGGAAAAAGGAAGAAGAATCAAAACAAAATTGTATATTTGAAAGAACACTTATTTTACCACCGGTGGTTAACAGCAACTCCTCCTTCCTTTCTCAAACAGGTTATTTCTGAGGATTCTTTGCATCATTTTAAACTCTCAATTTGCATGTTCTGATAGAATGCTTCTTGCCTTGTACTGCAGTATGTAGATAAAGACTTTGGAACTGGTGTTTTAAAGATAAGCCCTGGGCATGATCACAATGATTACCTTCTTGCTAGAAAGCTTGGTCTTCCAATACTTAATGTCATGAACAAGGATGGGACCCTGAATGAGGTTGCTGGATTGTATAGGTGAGTTTTAAAAATATGTTAAGCTTGTTGAAAAACAAGGAATTGCCAAGGATTCTTGTTCTGGCTTATGTATGAATGTTGCACATGTAAAATCAGTGGCCTTGATCGCTTTGAGGCACGAAAGAAGTTGTGGTCTGAACTTGAGGAGACAGGCTTAGCTGTCAAGAAAGAAGCTCACACTTCAAGAGTTCCTCGTTCTCAAAGAGGTGGAGAAGTGAGTTATATTTGTCTTGCTTTCCTCTCACATGTGCTTATTCACCAGCTATTGGGTTTTTATGCTAATCTGTCTAACAATCAGATCATAGAGCCTCTTGTGAGCAAGCAGTGGTTTGTGACTATGGAGCCTATGGCTGAAAAGGCCCTTGAGGCAGTGAGAAAAGGAGAACTAACCATTATGCCTGAAAGATTTGAAAAAGTATGTATGATATCTTCAACAATAAATTTTCTCTATATCTTTGCATGCATCACTAGCTCATCTTTATAGCTTCAAAAGCTTCTATTACCTGCTTTGATGACCTCAACATTGGCTTCTCTACTCATCATCATCTGTAACCAGGTCACGATTAATGAGTTTGCCATCGAGCATCAGCAAATATGATTCTTTGTGTCATTGCCTCACCAATTTACACACTAAAAAAGATTATAAGCGCTTTGACATTCAATTTAAAGCTCTGTGTTATAGCTTATTTGATGTCTTCTTTGTTACTTCAGATATATAATCACTGGCTATCAAATATCAAGGATTGGTGTATAAGCAGACAACTATGGTGGGGACACAGGATTCCAGTTTGGTATGTTGTAGGCAAAGACTCTGAAGAAGATTACATAGTTGCTAAGAGCACAGATGAAGCTCTTAAAAAAGCTCAACAAAAGTATGGAAAAGATGTGGAAATATATCAAGATCCAGATGTTCTTGACACTTGGTTTTCGAGGTTTGTTTAGTTGATAAACCTTAATACAGTTATATGCATACTTATCTGGCCGTTCTGCAAATGTTTCTAAGCATGCCTCATTGGCATTTTTCTAGTTCTTTATGGCCCTTCAGTACTTTGGGATGGCCTGATGTGTCTGCAGAGGATTTTAGACGGTTCTACCCAACATCAGTGCTTGAAACAGGGTATGCATTTCTGCTTCTTTCATTTTTCATTTCTTTTACGAATATGAGAAAAACAAGATGGTAGTTTTTCGGTATACAATGATGACCTGCTGTGTGGATTCTGTTTTCTTTCTAGAGGTATAGTTTAAATGAAAAATTCTGTACAAAGTGTGTGAAAAGTATAATTGTTGAAACTTGACAAATCCATGTCGGTGGTGGTCAGGGAATGCTGGGGTGGACATATCAGAATACAAAACATGATATTTCCCATAAAAAGTCTAATGTGCTTTGGTTGAGTGAAAATAAAACAAGTTAATTGATTGACTTGTATTGAATAACTATTGAAAGTATATGCAAGTACTATATCTTTTCTCAGTCTCGCTTGTTACTGTTAGCATCTTTTGATTCTCACATCGAATCTCTGAACCAAATGACATATACACTTGCATACGAACATATGAGATATGTCCAAATGTCTATGGTGGCAATGTGATTCTAATGTGGGGAAAAACTTGAGAGCCTGAATAAGAATGTTGTTATGTAGAACATGTGAATTAACCCTTTGATCAGATAGGTAGCAGTTAGGGTTGCCTTCCTCCAGTAGTGCTTTGGAACTTTTCTTTCAATAGTTGGGACCGGTCAAGTGGTTTCAAGTAGGTACACATTTTTTTCTTTCAGCTACCCCCATTTTTTGGTGTGTATTTAATTGGTGGATTGGAGTGTAATGCCTTTGTTTTGAATGATTAGGAAATAAAATTTGGTTGAAGTATTTTTTCCATTGTATGACTTTGATTGTGGTGTTGAATTGGTTTTGGATTATGCTTAGAGTGTGGATAACTGTACTTGCATCAAATTTGTATTTCATCAAGAATAACCATGCGACTCGTGTACAATGGTCTATACATGTGACAAACCAACATGCACTGTCTAAGCTTGCAATTCTAGATGGGTCCCAAACATTAATACGGACAATAGTAAAGGGAAATAGTGTTTTATGATTGATGGCTGAAATGATGTTATTTGATGTTTAGTATAATGAGATGATGCACATTGAAAATGAGATGCAATTATTCCCTTGAACAAATGAGGAAACATATTTCTCAATGCATGAAAGGGATATCCTAATCTAAAGTATTGAAGCCATATATGGATTTTATTGGATAATGAAAATGATTATGAAAAAAGGGATATAGGTTTGTTGGTGGTATCCAAGTAGTACAACCCATTTTTCTTCTTAAACAACCCATTCTTCCTCGAGTGTATTAGATGATAAAGTGACTTTGTAGCTTAAATCTTTGGTCATTTTTGGGATCATAGATAATTTAGGCACATGAAGAACACAATTAAGGGTGATAAATGGAGTGATAAAGATAATTCTTGTTTGAGCTATAAAGGCTAGTGATCCCTTAGGTAGCGTTTGGTATGCAGACATAATTGGACAGGACTGAACAGGACATGACAAGAGGGTAGGACTGTACAGGACTGGACTGGACGGGACAGGACTTAACATAATAGGAATATGTCTGGTGTTTGGTATGACTAGGATTGGACGAGACAAAACTAGACAAGCTACCCTCAAAAGTTATTTGATTATTTTAAATATTATATAATAGTTATAATTAACACAAATAAAGTAAATAATTAAAGAATAAATATTTGTATATAATTTTCATATTCGTATCAAATTTGAATGAAAAAAATTGATATAATTGATGGTAGTAGTGGTGGTGGTGGAGGTGGTTTTGGTGGCTGACGGGCGTTGGTGGTCGGTGACCGACAGTGGTTATGAAGGTAGAGGCAGTGGTGCTTGGTGGACGACGGTAGTTATAGAAGACATGAAGATGGTAGATTGTGGTGGTGGTGGCAGTTGACAACGGTGGAGGAGGTAGTTGTGGTTGATGTAGTGAAGATGGTGGTGGTGGTGGTGGTTATGGTGGAGGGGAGGTGGCAATGAATGGTGGTGGCTGATGGTGGTCGTGGAGAAGGTTGCAGTAGAGGAGGAGTTGAAGGTGGCGAACGACGGTAATGGTGGTGGGAATGGACGGTGGTCGACCATGGTAGAGGTGGCAATGGACTTGGTGGATGGTGGTTGTGGAGGCGATGGAGGATGTTGTAGTGGAAGAGGAGGTGGAGGTGGAGGTGGCCGCCGGTGATAGCCGGTAGTGATGGCGGCGGATTAAACTAGCGGTGATGACCATTAAAGCAAATACCATATTAAGGTTATATATCAAACGAGGGTAGATTAGTAATATTTTAGTTTCTGTCCCATTCTTGTCCCATCTTGTTCTACCTATTTTGGTGGAACAAGAAAAAATCTCTTTTGTCCCATGTCGTCCCACCTTGTCCCTGTCCCGTGTCGTGCCAAACGTGGGACAGTGAGTTCTTGTTCTGTCCCATGTTGTGCCAAACATGGGACAGTGGGTTTTATCCCGTCCTGTCCTGTCCTGTCCCGTCCCATGTAGTGCGTTTGGTACGCAGTCAGGAATGGACAGGTTGGGCAAGAGTGAGGTAGGTAGGTGAAATTCTTTTAGAAGGTTTTAGGGTTCTCATGTACGTCGGTAGTTTAGTTTACTAATCTTGTCCCATCTCCCCGATTTTTGTTCCACCTATTTTGGTGGGACATAAAATGATTTTTGTCCCACTCAGTCCTGTTCTGTCCTAGTGCCTTAGTCTAATGTCCCGCCAAACATAAGACAACAAGTTCTTTTTGAGTCATGTCACGTCCTGTTCCTCGTACCAAACGCACCCAGGTACTTGAATCTTTAGGTGTCCAGAACATTGTGTGTATGTTGAAAAATGATAATTGTGAACTAATCATGTTGTCCATGGCTTTGATTAGCACATTCGGGAAAAATTGTTGCAAGATATGAGCCACTTTGTTTGGCAAGTAGTAAGTGAATTTCTTATCCTTCTCACCTCCTCTTTATTGAAGGAGTATGGTTCTTGCTGATCTGATGCTTCTTATGTAATTGCCATATTTCCTTGTCTATTCCACGTTTCCTATTCCCATAATTCCGTTGAGGATTGTTTCTTTGATAATTTTCGTTGTTGCTTTATTCACATTGTGTATTCCATCCAACTTCCAACAAATCTTCTTTACATTGTGTCATTTCTTGTGGTAGAACTTTTGGCTGTCTTATGCTTGTTTTGTCTTCGGTGATAGGAGGTTTTACCTTCCCAAATCTATTTGTACATGCTCGGGCATATCTTTCGGCTTTTGGAGGTCTCATTTGTAGTTAGCAAGGTAGATTTTTCTTGTTGACAGTTGGGGCTTCTATCAGTATGACATTTCTTCCTATTCAAGGACTTGGACTTGGACTTGATCAAATTCCATGTTCAATCCCGCTAAGAACTCATTTCATTGATGAACTTAAGCAGCAAGGATTGCATTTCATCTTACTAACGTGATAGTAATCAAGTTCGAGCCATTAGTTATTAAGGGTACTATAATACTTGGTGACAAATGGGGTACCTTGTTTGTTTTTTATTTTGAAAACCAATCTTTGACAATCTTTCTGTTTTTGTCTTCTCAAAAAAATCGCAAGCCGAGGATCTTTACGGAATTTGTCTCTCTACTCCTTGGGTTAGAGGAAACGTTTTATGTACATCCGTTTCCGAACCTACTTCTGAGTTGGATATATTGGGTACTTTTGGTTTGGTTTATTTCGAAAACCGGTGTAGCATCCTTTTACTCTGATTTTCTTAATAGATGTGAAAAACATGCAATTTCCACTTATTTCTGTATGTATCGAGTCCCATAGCCACAACATAATCAGTGAATCTTGAGTATAGCCACAACACAATTAGTGAATCTTGAGTATCGCACTTGTCATATTTGGGGTCTTTTCTTGGTGCAGGATCGAGTATGGTGAAGTTCTTCTTTTCCATTGAGCTTTATGTGGATCACTTGGGACCAGATCATGTAGTTTCTTCATTGAGTCGATATGCAACTTTAATATTCTCAAGTTCATTTGATTATGCTTCATGGACAACTTCAGTTGGTCCAGTAACATTTAAAGAGTCTGGATGATGAAGGCATGGATACTTCTCTTTAGATAGGAAAACTGAGGATGGAATATTGATTTTAAATATTGACTAAATAGTTTCAATGATAAAAGTTGAACAAGAAAGAGCAATAAAGAACAAGAAAGAACATGGTAATGTTGTAGCTGTGATACCTTAACACTTTAGAGATATTTTGTCATGCTATGTCATTGATTATAATTTTATAAACTGTTTATATACAACCTAAAAACATACATAGGTACATTTCCTAGTTAAATGGTTAGCTAACCAAAAAAAGAGAAGTTTTTGACTGTAGACAAAATCACAAAATCTGCCAACAATAGAAATATAATCTCAAGAAATAAGAGATTATATTTCTATCCTAAGGATATGAAGGTTAACTTCCGGTATTGATTTTGGTTAACAAAGTTTCTCTATTTTGTTACCATTTTATGGTAAACCAAACAAACTGAGTAGGGTAGGATGTATATAGACCTTACTTCTGTTTTAATAAGACAGAGAGGTTGTTCTCAAGAAGACCCTCAACTTGCAAAAAAGGTTAAGTAAAAAATGAGAGCACAACTATAAGCCGCCAAATTTGCCAAAAGGGGATCTTTTTTTTTTGTTAATGTAAAATTATAAAAGAATGCAAAGAACCTTCCTAGCTAGAAAGCTAAAAGCTTTAGAGAAGTAGGAGGAATATTATTTTCTACTATATGTTGATTACAACATAAGGAACTATATGTACAAGTAGAGGTTAGGAGATATACTATGACTACAACTCCTAACAATATGGGATAAACACTTATCTACAAACGTTTCCTTATTAGAGTCTATCTATAACTCCATTAATCCATATCCGATTACGATTCTACACTCCCCCTCAAGCTGGATGGTATATGTTATACAATCCAAGCTTGCCTATTAACGTGCTGAATAGTGGTAAACTTAGTGCTTTAGTGAAGATGTCGGCCACTTGTTGAGTGGTAGAAATGTATGAGACTTCAAGATTCTGT